ACTACATTTAATCCATTGCTACACTTAAGTAAAGTACAAGTACCACACCAGGGAAATATGGTACTTTTACTACACTACATTTATCTGACACTTGTAGTTAACTTTTTAGATACTATGTGTTTCTATTCACATACATGTACTACTCATTTACTCAGTTCTTTCCAAAATGTGCTCTATAGACTGAACAACATTTGAATAATTCATGCTATATGCTGTGATGCTTAATGTTACATTGATTATTGTTTTTTATTGAGGGCAAACATACTTTATACGTATTATTTTGATACAAAGATACTGCAGCAAATGGACAGTAAATGACTCGCAGTTAAAAAATAAACTAAAATAAGAAGGGAGGAGAGTTCAGGGTGTGTTGAGGACCAACACACTCACTCCATAAACGTCCAGGAGCGACGCTTGGTCAGGGTCCCGTGGCGTGCAGTTGTGACGCTCCTAGGCTCCTTCAGCTTCATAAAGGGACGCAAATAGCTTTCAACTGATTGCAATGTATTCCCATCTGCGGCGGGATTTGGCGCTCATGGAAGCACGGCATTCGTTTGTGTCGGCTGCCCTTAAAAGGCAATGTGAGCGTCCATTCCCATTGGATAACGGAGAATTGTACACCCGGAAGTAACTATTCCCCTTACTGTCGATTGATTTTACATTGATATCTGCACTACTCATCGACTAAAAAACACAAGATTATACTTGTTAATTACACAACATTGATTGGTTTAAATTGTGTGCAATGCTTTTGTATTTTTCTCCTTCGATTCGGAGAAAACATTTTTTTTCGGAGTAAAGGATTGCAGAAGACACTACACTACCCAGAATCCCAGTAGGGCCTGGCTCATTTCGTGGCATCTGCAGGCAGTGGCAAGTACTTCCGGCATCTGCCACAGAGGCCACTACTCCGTGGCATCTGTGGCAAGTACTTCCGGCATATGCCACAGATGCCACTACTCCGTGTATTATGACTAGTAAAGACAAATAATTAACAAATAAATATCTGTATTGACACAGCAACGTGTACACTGGTGTTATTAGACTTGGCTACAGACTTAGGGCAGCTGTAACTGATTGCAGTTGCCACTGCTAGTGAGATGCTAAGGTTTACTTTATAAATTAGGCAAAGGACAGTTATATATTTGCCCCATGCCTTCAGCAGCAGCAGGCCATTGACTTTGATTTTATCCCGTTATGAAATGTCATCATTTCGACAGTAAAGAAATGCTACATAAACGTTATCTTGCACGTTTTATCGAACCATCTCCGTTTCTAACTTTCAATATATTTAAAAAGAGATATCTCTCTCATCTGCGTGGGGGGGCGGGGCCTCACAGACATGCTGCTGCGCTGTGCACACAGTTATGAATATTACATTTTGTGAGGAAACTTTTCCACCAATAATTCCAATATTCCAAAATGTATTCACTTCAAGTTTACGAAAGTAACTGTAATCAGATTAGTTGTTTTTCAAATGTAACGCGAGCTGAATATTTAGGCTACTTGATTTTTGTATTACATTACATTGCATTTAGCTGACGCTTTTATCGAAAGCGACTTATTAGACAGCGACAGTATTCTGATTACGTAACGCCGTTACATGTATTCCGTTACAACCCAACCCTGTGTACAGATCATCAGTCCTGTGTACAGATCAGTTCGATAAAGTCATGCCTAAACAGCGACATTTTACACGATAAATACAGGTTTAAATAGCAGCATTTGCCACGGAAGGCGAGTGGCAGCTACAGTAAACCTTCTCTTACTCTGGCATCTTGTGGCAGCTCCCGTTGAGGAGCGGCAGATGCCTCGGCAAGTTGTGGCATCTGTGGCATATGCCGGAAGTACTTGGCACAGATACCACAGAGTAGCGGCCTCTGTGGCAGTTGTCGGAAGTACTTGCCACTGCCTGCAGATGCCACAAAATGCCCTTGCTGTCTCTCTAAAAATGCCAAGCAGGAAGGTGAAAAGGGACATAAAGAAAGTTAGGCAAACAAACACAGAATCTCCAGTTCATTAGCTAATACTATAATTATATAGTTAAAAGATATTGCTATAAAAATAGTGATAAAATCCAGTTTATTTTACACTTATACACTACATTTTGGTAAACGTATTGCGACGTACAAAGTATGGAGCACTGACTTTTCGGTGCCTGTGTGAGGATCATGGAACACTCCCACTTTAACATCATCACGGGAGGTGAATGTAAGAAGCTGCAGAGAACTGCTTAGTCTCAGTGTGCTGTCTTAATTCGGACTTGGATTTAGCAACGCTCTTTACTTTAACTCTGGGTTTACGAATAGAACCGGTAAGACTGCTCAGAAATAACCTTCTAATTCATGGAAAACTTTTTTTTATTCTTTCCTATTAATCATTTATTAGAATGTCTAACATTACGCACCATACTCGTTGAAAACCTTAAATTCCTAGAGGATTTCTTCTAGTTGTGTTTGCAGGAACAATGCACTTGCTTCCACATTCTCTAACTTCTGTTTACAGTGCATGCAGCAGGCTGTAGCCAGCAGTCTGAAAGTCAAAGTGAGCATCTACACAGTAGTGTGTGTGAGCCTGTGTGTGTCATGTTGCATTGTTTTCAGCTTGGCCCTGAGGGGGGACCATCACACACTGAGCGTACATGTGTGTGCACGTTAGTGTGTCTGTGATGGGGCAGTTTGACCCCAGTTTATCAAAGGGTGAGCCATGTCCCCCAGCCTGAGAACACACCACTGTCATGTTCAAGCTGGGTTCTGTCACGTCACTACTAACCATGCCAGGGCCTTCTGGCTCACTGCTTTATATCCAACTGGGCTTGTAGCATAAAAAGCTACATTAGCCTAGTTAAGGGCGTGCGTCAATATCTTTCTCTGGCAGAAGGCACTGGGGAGCTGTTTCACCAACATTCTATGATAGAATCACATTTCGCCTTTGCTGTCTATTATCTAATTTTTGCTACTTTCTATTGGTTTGATATGTTTTTTACACCGTAAGCAAGAAACAGTTGATATTTGACCTCATACTTTGTGTTAATGAGCTTGAGAAGGACAATCCGTAGGAAACAAGCACATAGATATAAAGCACAACCCTAACCACCAGCCGCACTTAGCGTTGTGGTCATTGTCATGATATGTTCTGTCTTACATGAAGTTCAGGGTAGACAGACACGTCCAAAACAAGCTTCCATTATCTTCTGTGCCGTCACAAGTTCCATTTAAGTATAAAGCTATGGGCATAGTCTTCGTTATCCTATACACCATATTTTTTGTGGTTGTATAAGTGATAATGTACAGTGACTGTCAGTATTAAAGAAGAACCCTTTTGTTTGCTTCTGGATCTGAACGATGGTTGGATACAACATTTAAAAAAATAAATATTGATATAGCCTACTGTAAAAGGATTTTGTTGATTAAAAAAATATCCTATTGCGCTAGTCTGTTCCACTGCGTACGAACGGCTACAACTGCGGCAACAAATACGTGACATGAGATGACGGCAGCACTGACTTGTTTAAAAAAAAAAAAACGCGATAAAATAATTGTCTGCGTTAATTAATTAATGCGTTAACGCGATAATAACGGGTTAACTGGCCCAGCCCTAATAAATACCTATTAAAATAGTATTTAATTGTGTTATCTGACAGAGGACATTATTATTTTTACATTATTACATGTCACTTGTTAGACGCTTTTATTCAAAGCGACTTACATACTCAATACTGTGGACAATCCCCACAGGAGCAATTTGGGGTGAAGTGTCTTGCCCAGGGACACAACGACATGCTGACTGCAGTGGGGTTTGAACCTGTGACCCCCTGATCCGAACACCTACGGACAACCCACTATGCCACACGCCATCAGGCACTTTAAATTGACCAGACTTCTTTCTGCAAATAATAATTGCACATATTATTATTGCTAAGGTCCTCCTTAGCAACGGTCTGCTATCCTTAGCAGCAGACCACTAGCGAAAAAGAGCATCATCATGGAGTATTCTGATCAGCACATTAGGGTATTTACCTTCAACACTGTGTCTGATTGTTACCATGCTCATTCTACATTAAAGCTACACTTTGATCGATAAAGTGTGTTTAGTTCTGATGAGAAAAGGGAGAATGCAGCACCGGGCTGGACCCAGACCAGGCACTGAGACATCGATCAAGTAGAGCTTTAGGATGAGAGTGTTCTGTCAGGCCAGGTTTCAAACACACCGGCGTGGAAGCGAGAGGCTGCTTCCTTTTTTAGCTCGAGACTGAGACCAGGTCAGCTCTGAGATGAGTTTGCTGGCAGCGGAGAAGCGTCCAGGCATGTAAATCATTGTTAGATCAGTGCGGGGAGACATACACACACTCACATATGCAGTTATTCACAGTACAGTAGAATCTATTAGGATCTGTGAATGCATCTTCCTCATCCTTCTAGCAAAGAAGAAAAAAACACAACATAGTATGAAAAACTTTGCAATAGGTGCATTTTGATTCACAACTTTTAACCACTTATACTAGAATAACATAGTATATTGCTTTATAATGACCATCAACATAAGGACATCACTTACTAACATTTTATTTTGCTTCACAGCATTGCATTGCCCCTGGAGTCATTCCACAAAATCTGATCTATACAACATCTGGAAGGGATTTTGAGTGTTTTAAAAAGCTTTGTTATCCTTTGGTATCTTCCCATCCTCTGCACACTGCTCTCAGTTCTGCCACTGAGGTGATCCATTTCTAATGCTAGCCCAGGTCTGAATATCCAATAAACGTAACCCTCTCTACTGTAAACAAATACCTTCCACATTTGGCTGGTCTGTGTATGAGAGGACTCAGGCTGGTATGTGCTGTGTGTGTGTGTGTGTGTGTGTGTGTGTGTGTGTGTGTGTGTGTGTGTGTGTGTGTGTGTGTGTGTGTGTGTGTGTGTGTGAGGGATCTTCAGCATCTGAGCCCTCTGTCTTATTTCTTGCAGGCGACTGGGAGTGCTACCCACATGACCCCACTGTATGGCATGTAAGTTATTGTTTTTCTATTTCTATTAATTGCTTTTCCTTCAACAGTATGTAAAGTATTTATGACAGATATGAAAAATGCCCCTCCTCGTGTCTTCCATAGGATGACAGACTTTATAGTTGTTTCGCCTCTTTTTGACGTCGTTTTTATTTCCTGTTATAGCCGTTATGCATCTGTCTGTGATTGTGTGTCTCCTTGTGGTGATGTTGTGTCCCTTTGTAATTGTTTTAGTCTTTTCGTAGTTGCCCCTTGTGTCTTTGTTGTCTTGTTGTGTCCCTTTCTTGTTGGTACATGTGTCTTTAAGTGAACCGTTTTGTATGTAAAGGCCATGGGGCCACGGACAGTCCCTTTGATGGTCAGTAATCCATCCATGATGACTGACTTTTGCTAAACTTGAACTTGAACCTCTCCTGCCGAGGAAGTATTATTTTTCCTTTGTTCAGTTGCTTCAACTGCCTATGCTTACCACTTAGTTGTTTTTCTATTTATATAAAATGATCCATTTATTTTTATTTTTATTAATTAGTTTATTTAACAGGAAAAATGCACATACATAGACAATGCTGTAAAAGTGGATATTTAAAAAAAAAAAATAATAATTTTTCATCTGGACATATTTTGAACATTCACCCTAAAAACTAAGGGTGAATGTGCAAAATATGTCCAGATGAAAAATTATAATTCTTGATAAAAAAAAGAAGAAATATAGTCATTAGAAACATGCAACATCGAAGTTTACAATACAGAGAATAAAAACACATGATTTCAGATATTACATAGCAGTACAGACAAATTCTAATTGTGGGAAGTACAGAAAAAAATGTGTGTTGAAAGAGCTGATCCCTAATTTACAATGTTTTTAATTCATGAAAAACACATGACAACTTTTCCCTGGAATATCTACCAGATTCCACCCGATAAGAGTGGCTGGGAGACGAGCACATGTATTCCTAGGAAAACACTGCAAACTGTGTCATCCTTCAGAGGGAAAAAGCATATGTTCACTCTTTACTGTACACACCGGCTCTTGAAAAAATAAAAACATGGATTTAGCCACATTATTAATGAAATTGAAATGTAGTGCACCTTTCATCCATGTAAATATTAAACAACTACTGTATCTAAAAAATAAACTCTTACCTGCTGATCCAACAGGACACGTCCCAGTGTGTGCATCTAAGCATCTCTTGTTTCCTCATTTTGAAGCATCCTGTAACCTGGCAGCCATCCAAGGAGGGGGACCATCTGATTGGACGAATCACCCTCAGCAAGAGGAGCGCCACCATGCCTAAAGAAGCCGGAGCTCTGCTGGGGTTAAAGGTCGGAGTGGGCAACAACACACACACTCACATGATGTTGTATCATTACACATGATGTCTCTACTTATTACATGGGTACATACTAAATAAACCAAATCCTTGAGTCACAATTTTGATTTAAAAATGATCGTATTGCCTCCGCTAAGAAAAATGTGTCCGATCCACTGCGTACCAATGTCTGAAACTGCAGCGACAGCAAAGTATTTTAAAAGGAAAACAGCACTGATCGAGGTTATCTGTAACTTTCCAAGTCTGTTCACATTTTATTTTCCATTAACCAGTCTTTGAAACACTCATACCATGTTCCCTTTAGTGTGTACTTCCTTTCTGTCTTCTTCTGCTGATTTCTCTGATGTTCAGTGCTCTGTCTTTTAAACTCTTTCCTTCTCATGCGCTGTTTTTCTTTTTCTTTACTGGGGACAGTTTAGCCATCATAAATCCAAAGTGTCTTTTCAAATATTAAAATCAATATTTAAAAAGTCTCTTGAAACTCAAAATTAACAGAAACCAGTATCCAACCAAGCTTTGTAATAATATTGTAATGGTATTCGGTCAGCATATATGACAGATATGACACTAATCTCTTTCTCTCCCCCTCTCTGTCTCTAGGTGGTGGGAGGCAGAATAACAGAGTCAGGGAGATTAGGTGCCTTCATCACTAAAGTCAAGAAGGGAAGCCTGGCTGATGTGGTGGGACATCTCAGAGCAGGTAAACCATTACATGTGATACGCTGTCTGCTGTAAAAGTAAAAAATCATCCAAACATAGGGTCTTTAAAACAGTTTCAGAGGTCTTATTTTCACTATTTCACTTAAAACATTTTTTTTTCTATATAGTTTTATGTCTCTAATTAGCTGTGTTGGTTTTAAACATATTGGCATAGAGCAAAAGATAAGGCCTTGTCCACACTTGCATGGTTATTTTCTGAAATAAATGTTTTTTTCATTGACCTAAATCGCTGTTTGAGTTAAGAAGGAAGGCCGAAATAAATAGATAAAGCTTCATAAAAAA